AGCGAGTAATAGTTCTTGAAGGTGGACACCAGCTTGAAGGGAGCGGTGGGCGTCAGGGAGCAGGTCACCTGTCCGTTGGCCCCAGAGTCGCGGTCAGACACTCTGATCAGGGCGATGACGGTGCCCGCCTGAGCATCTTCTTGTACAGGGAGTGACAGTGAAGTGACGATTACCTCAGGGACATTGTCATTCATGTCCACAACTTCGACCAGGACTGTGCTATGCCCCACCATAGAAGGAAATCCTTTATCAATGGCATTAACCTGAATTTCATACGCATTATTCTCTTCAAAATCCAGTATCCCAAAAATACGAATGTCACCTGTGTCTGGATTTATCAAAAACATACACTTCTCACTCAGTGGCAAAATCATTCTAATTCCATAGAAAAACTCTCTATTTAGTCCGTCGTCTAGATCTGAGGCATTCAGTTGAATGAATCTGGTGGCGTTTTGGACATTTTCAAACAATGCTACTTTATAGACAGGCTTATCAAACAACGGGGCATTGTCGTTGACATCAAGCACAGTGATTACAATCTTAATAGATCCTGTTAGCTCCGGTTTACCTCCATCTGTGGCTGTGAGCAATAAATTAAATTCTGGCGATTCCTCTCTGTCCAATGACTTCCGCAGAACTAGTTCCGGTAATATACTTTTATCGGTTTTCGTTATTATTTTAAGTTCAAAATATTCATTTAGACTTAACCTATAGGTCAGAAGAGCATTTATGCCGGTATCCGCGTCCGCAGCGCCCTCTAGGGGAAAATGAGAGTCCAGAGGAGCAGATTCAGAAATACGTACCTTTTGTTCTCTTTCTCTGAACACCGGCGGGTTGTCGTTAATATCCTTCACCTCCACCTCCACGTGGAAAACCTGCAGCGGCTGCTCCATGATCACCTCCAGGTGGATGCCGCACGCCGCGCTCCGCCCGCACAGCTCCTCGCGGTCGATCCGAGAATTCACAAACAAAATGCCATTCTGCAGATTCACCTCCAGAAGGTCCCCGCGGTCCTTGGACGCCACGCGAAACAGGCGCGGCACCAGCTCCGCCAGCTCCAGTCCCAGGTCCTGCGCGATGCGGCCCACGAAGGTGCCGTGCTTGGCCTCCTCGGGGACCGAGTAGTGGAGCTGCCCGCTGCCCGCCTCCCAGGCGGCGAGGAGAAGCGAGAGCAGCAGGCGCCGGGCTCCCGGGGTTGCTCGCCAGGAAAACACCATTGCGGGATAGCGGGCTTCTGAGACGGTATGCCAGCTTAAAGGAGCACTCGCACGGACTACTTGTGCATTTGCCCTTTTCTTTAAGTAGAGACTAAGTAAAGTCTGCCCAGCATTTCGGTCAATATGGAGTCAATCCTGTTCTGTGAATAGTTGCAATCGTTGGGCGTGGAGACATTTTCGCGTTTCACCTTTTGATGCAGAGCGACACCATGTGACTGATTATGTAAGTACAAGACAGATCCTGAGATTCTCCTTTTTTGGTATGGTCATTCTGTAGTTCACTCGAAATTGTTTAGACCTCTAGATTATTTGGAAGGACCCATTCTACCAAAGTATTTTCTGATATTAATATCAAAGCACAAATACTTTCATCATGGTGTAGCTTTATTAATCTTGTCTGCTTCCATCGATCATAAAGAGGTCACTGAAATTCACTGTTAGAAATGACTTTTTAGCTATCGTAGGGAGTAAAACAAAGATTAGTATGTATCACCCCTGTCCATATATAGTTCTCAGTTCAATTTTAAACCTTCACAACCCCTGCATTGTAGAACTTCAGGAGGATGTCCAGAGTTCTCTAATTCATTTGTTTGTTTTGTTTAGTTTCAAGAACTGAACGTTTTTCATCATTCAAAAATATTTTATTCATGGAAATAGGTTTATTTATAGTCTGGAAAATATTGGAGTTCATCAAAAACATCGAAAAGTGTCTCTGTTTCTTTATGCTTAAAAATGAGAACTTTTTTTATACAACTGCTCTCCTCACTACAACATTCTAAAATGAAGGTAAGGTTTCTTGAAAGTTTTGCTTTAAACGTTTTCATATAAAAATTTATGCTGAAGCCTCCAAATTTCATAATATTCTATGGTGGCAATGGAAACCCAATATGAAAAGATCTCGAAGTGTTTTGGAGCCTAATTTCATTGTTAATGCCCCTTTTGATTTCCTTCCAAACCTTTTCCTATGCTAATTGGTACTAAGAATATGATTCTCTTCAGAAAACCAGATGCAAGAAGAAGTAAAAAACGTCATGATTTTGTTACTTCAAAATCAGCCTTAAGGGAAAATAAAACACAGATAGAATGCTACTTCTACTTCTGAACAAGTTAACATAGATTTTTATAAGTTTCTTAAAATTCAAGAAAAAATCTTTAAACTGGTAATTGGTGGACATTGCTTTTGCATATAAAATGTGGAATCTTCACAAAATGGAAAAGTATATGGTAGGTAAGAATGCTTCAACAAGTATAAGATAAGTTAAATAAACTATGAAATTCCCAATTAGTAAAAAAAATAAAGAATTTAATATTAAAGCTAAGACTATTTAAATAATCTAATATAGCACTGCCACGTTTCTTCATTTCCTATTTCAAAAATAGCTCATGTACCATAATTGCTAGAAGTTTAATGAACAAATATTGCTTTTATGTAGTCTTCACATATTACTGGGTAGAAATAAATTATTGAGCAGAGGGTATATGTAAAGTTAGCTTAATGCATAAACAAATGAATTATAAATCAGGTAAAAACTTTCATTTTACTCTAAAGAATGTAAACTTGATTAAGAATAAATATGAAAAAAGCAAAGACTAAATATGAGACAATAAATTTGTTGGGAAGTTTAGATAATTTGGAATTATTAAAGTGTGCATTGATTACTTACCTAAAGTAAAAATAATAGTGTACTTAAAGTATTGAAATGTCTTTATTATATTTAAATGATCTTGAGTTATTCCAAATACTTCATTTGGATATGGATAATAATGGGCAATAAAAGTCCAGCCTAATATTCACATTTAGTATGTAAATGAAGTTGGATATATAAATATTATTTATATTATCTAGCAGGGGATTATTTAATCACATTTCAATCTCAAATACTTTAGTTTTGCATTTGTTGCCTATTTTTAAAAATGCAAAGAATGTTTTACCCGATTAATAGTGAAGTACAAAGGTTCTTGATCTGAAACTCAAGAATAAGCTTCAGAGAAGATACTGGGGATATGTCAGATTATTCCAAATATCATGAAATGCAATTTCAGAGAAGCATGCCCACATATACATGGGTATTCCTAGACTTTCAAAGGGGCCTTTGACTCAGCTATTTTACATAGTTATAAAACATTTAATTTGAAGAATTACCTAGATGTAAATGATCTTTCCTAGAACTTTCAGATGTGACCATACCACATGGAAAGAAGACTAGAGAGAAAACATTTAAAATGTCAGATGAAATGAACAGCTAACAGGCATTCAATTAATACAATTCCTAAATTTTTCCTTTCAGAATTCACAAGTTTTAGGAAAGAATGCTTATTAGCATATATTGCAGATAAGCCAACATGCATGCCTTTACCAAATTTGAATTATTTGATTGAGTAATCTGATTTGATCTAATATACTTTGAAAGTGCAGTGTATTGTATACACTGTTGGGTATACAATAATTGAGAAAGCTCTTTCCATTTCAGAAAACCAAATGTAAAGTGGGTTTACTCCATATAAAAGGTAGCTAGTTGGAATGCAATGCTAGTTTTACCTGCAACTAATGTGAGGATGGGTTTAATACAGTTGTAGAAGCAAACCTAAGGATTGGTTAGAGGACAATGGATGACTACTGAATATTCAACAACATAGTAAAAATAGATAATTTCGGAAGTTAAAAAAAATACAATGTTTAATATATTATCTAAACAGAGAACTCAGGTGAGATTAACACAAGCCTTGGTATTTCCCATTGTCTTAGATGCATGGGAAAGTTGGACAGTGAATAAGAAAGACAGAAGAAGATTTGATGCATTTGAATAATGGTGCTGTTGAAAATGTTCAAAGTACCATTGACTTCCAAAAGAAGAAACAAATCTGTGTAGGAAGAAGTAAAGCCAGATGCTGCTTAGAAGTGAGGATGGCAAGACTTCATCTCGCATACTTTGAACGTGTTGTCAGGAGATCTGTCTTTAGAAAGGACATCATGCTAGGTAAAGTAGAAGGCAAGGATATGGATTGATAGAGTGGCTGCAACAATGGTCTCAAATATAAGAACAATTGTGAGAAAGGCACAGGACAGCGCGAAGTTTCATTCGGTTATACATAGGGTTACTATGAGTCGGAACTGGTTTCACAGCACATACTAAAAATAAACTGGGAAAAGCCAAGTGATCTACTAATGTGACATTGTCTGTCAAAAAAAGGAAGATAAGCAAACAAATAATCTACAGTGCTTATCTATATTCTGAGCAGTATTGATGAAATGAAGTGATATGGGCAGATCAGTGGAAACAAATTATTTCTAGGCAGTAAAAAAAAGAAAGTCATTTTTACATCTTCTTTTGGTATTTTCTAACCAAACGTTAGAATAGGATAGTTATAGACAAGCCAAACGAAACCAAACCGACTGCTATCCAGTGGATTCTAACTCATAGCAAACATATATAACGTTTTTTATATTCATCTCTCTCATGAGGCTCAGCTGATGGATTTGAAGCATCAAGAATCGCCTTGGGCAGACCAACCGTTATCCTACTGGGCGACCTTATGATGAGCTAGTTTTGTGTATATGTGACATTTCACGAACAGAACACGGCTCTTTCAAACACTACTCAAAATAAAATATTCATTTAAAGCTATCAGTAAAATAAAATAATTTTAATATAGACTTACTGAATAGTTATAAGTTACAAAACTCACCTGTCCACAGTGATTTGAGCCTGTCTCCGATCTTTCTTCTCCTTGTCTATCCAACGCTGGAGGGAGGCTGGGGCTGAAGGCCATGAGGTCGGTCTTGGGCGGCCCCTCCCCAGAGCACACCCGCGGCCGCCTCTGCTGCGACGAAGACCAGCTGCCCACCGCGCTCGAGCACACCAGCGCCGGCTTCCCCG